ATATATATATATATATCAGGCTTTTATGGCACATATAGTGAGAATATGGTGCTGATAGCTTATAATGTAAATAAATTAGGTATTTATAACAGTACTGTATATCAGACTGCTTCTATAAAATGCATAACACTCTATATCTCCCAATAATATATCTTAGTAAGATTTTAAAAACGTTTATAGTTTTAGAATTAAAGCTGTGTATTTTTTTTTATTAATTACGTCAAATGCAATGCAATACAATGATGATTGAAAGATGAACAAACAAACATTCCTTAAAAGCCTGATGATCGTTATACGCTCGCATTTAAACATGATTTCTCTAAATAAATTTAAAAAACAGTTTCACGGCAAAAAGACACGTGAAGCTCGAGCTGAACGTTTGTACAATTATATTAAAAGGCCTTTTACTTCATAACAACACTAAACTATCAATCAGACGACAGAAGGCATGACCGTAGATTGTGTGCAACAGGTTTTCAGCAAAGTCTGATCATGTTGATCATTTGGAGGCCTTGGAAATGTGCATATCAAATATGATACAGTAGGATATATAGGGCTAAATGTGGCTTAAGTATCCAAATACTTTTTGTGGCCACTATGCAATGTTTGACAAGTTCTCTCAAATGCTATTTACTGTTTATTATATTTCATAGCGCAGTGGCCCTAGAAAGCAGCGTTTAAAGTGTTATGATGGCTCCAGCAGATAGTGCTCAGTCCCCTGCGAGCAACATATGGCATTAACCTGTGATGCATGCAGCCAGTACTAATGAAGACAGATGAGGGTGGCTGTAGTCTTCCAGTGTCCCGTCTGATTCATTTCACTCTACATATGTGCCGCTATAAAACTGTCACCTTTAGCGTGGGACAGCCGTGTAGATTTGTGTGTCTCTGGATTCATCACTGGCCACTGAAATCCTCCAGAGTTTTCATTTTCTCTCGTCACACGTTCTGTCGACTTTGTTCTTTGATCTGACGAAGGTGTATTTACACGCCTTTAACTGTTAGATGCTGCAAATAAGGAAGATTAAGAATGAATATAGAACTATTGAATTAGATATAATGTACATGATCTCAAATAAATATTTTATATACACTTTCAAATATATGCTCGGTCACGATGTTGCTAAAGTTTAAGGCTGCTTTTTTGCACTTGTTCTGTCTGACTCTAGATACTTTGGTGGTTCACAACTGCATATTTTTGTGCTGCTTTTATGCAACATTGCATCTTTATACCACATAATTTGCACGCATCCTACGTCTTAAGCCAGCTACTCTGTAATAGATTTAAACTTACTTTAAATAAATTGTAAAATTTTTATAGTATTTTTTTTTTTTTACAAAATATATTTATTATTTGACATAACTGCATACATCATATGTCATTATAAATATTAATGTTTTAATTTATTTAAAATAATTGAATCACTATCAAATTATAACCTACATTTAAATAAATTTAAAATGTAATTTTTTTATTTTATTTGACAAAATTACATATTTTGTCATTTTTATAAGGTTTATAATCCATGAATTTTTGCATTGGAAAAACATTTGTTTATATGTAATTAAAATGAATTGACACATTTTACATATCTATACATTTTTATTAAAATATAAATTTTATTACATTATTTTTTTTAATAGAATTATTATTTACTGTTTAAATATTTACATAATTACATACTGTTTGCGTACTATTTACATATTTTGTCTTTTTTTATTAATGTAATTTTATTTGAATGTATGGAAATTAAAATATAAAACATTGTGTGCAGTTCAAATTATGTAATTTGTTTAGTATTTACATTTAACTCATTAATATGTGTTAATTCATAATATGTATTAATTTACATATGAATTCATTTTAAAATAAATGTAAAAGTGATTTATTTATAAAATTACACATTTAACATTTTATATTTTTGTGCTGCCTTTATGCAACGTTTTATTTTACACCTAATTTGCAGCAGACACACATCCTGCTCAGAGCGATCTTAAGCCAGCTACTCTATAATAGAATTAAAATGACATTAAAACATTTTTTACATTTACAGAATATATTTATATTTACAATATGTAATTAAGTATAAATGAATTATTGTAAATTAAATGTAAAATTATGCATTCTAAATTCATTTTATATAAATTTATAAGATCATATAATATAGTTATAATATCTTATATAACGTCATATAAACAATGTAAAATATGCATTTTTATTTATGTACAATTATTTAAAACTTTCATATTATGGTTCCATGTAATTCACTTTAAATGTAAAATGTACGTATGGAATTAGAAAAATCGACATATTTGGTTATTTGTATTTATTATTTGAATTTATGGAAAAATGGTGTGCATTAAAAATGATGTAATTTGTTTAATATTTCCATGTAATTAATTTTTAAGTCGTTTTTTTTGTATTGCTTTAATAGTACATGTGGTCATATGAAAGAGCTTGATTGTCTGCTGGTAGTCTGCACTGCTAACAGTCCTCTCTCTGTGAATGATGAAGTCTGGTCTCTGTGATGTTCAACAGAAGGCACAGATGCCATCGCTCTGAGCGCCGCTCCTCTGTCCTCCAGCCACCGTCCACAGAAAACCACTAACCCTCGAGCCGCTGCAGGTGAGCCGCTGTAATCGTGTGTAACCAAATCTGCCATTTGCTAATCATCCCGCCAAGAGACTGCAGAGCCATAATTAGCTCCTCCTCTGAGCGGCCCACCCCTCCTGTCCCTTCACTATCACATGATCCTTCACGCCCGCTCTCATTGGTCGGTTCGGCTGATCGTCCAATCCCTCTCAAATGTCGTGGCATTTGGCAAATGTTACTGAAATCTCGTTTCACCAACTTTTGGGGCGTGTTTTGTGGTCGGCACTGCCCCATAAATATGGATGCCGCGGCGTAAAGCGGTGTTTGGCGTTCCTGTCGTCCCACAAATAAGCCGCATGCGGTGTTTAACCTTTTAGCTGGATGCTCTCAAATATGGGTCAGTAATCCAGCAGAATGAAGCAGACTGAGGCAGAACTAAAAACTGACAGGCCGTCACGCTCTTCTCTCATGCCTTTGTTGCGTTTATTTTATTTGCTTGTGTGATATTGTGTGAAACTTAAAGTCCCCATGAAATCAAAATGAAAGTTTTTTGGGTGTTGGTATCAGTATGTTAGTATTAAGGTTATCTATAAGGCAGTGTGCTCCAAAACAGTGACAAAATTCGCATTTAGAAGATATAAGCATTCAAAGCTTGCAGTTCGTCACTTCCGCCAAAACGGCTCAACGATTTTTTTTTTTGACGTCACATTGTACTTCAGCTTCTCATCAAACTTTCTGTCCAATCAAATGCTCTCTAGAATCCGAAGCGCCACCCCCTACACTCTTAAAAATAAAGGTGCTTCAAAAGGTTCTTCAAGCGATGCCATAGAAGAACCATTTTTGGTTCCACAAAGAACCATTCAGTCAAAGGTTCTTTAAAGAACCATCTCTTGCTTACCTTTTTGTAATCTGAAGAACCTTCTTTCACCACAAAGAAGCTTTTGTGGAACAGAAAGGTTCTTCAGATGTTAAAGGTTCTTTATGGAACCATTTAGACAAAAAGGTTCTTCTATGGCATCGTGAAGCACTTTTATTTTTAAGAGTGTACGCTATAAAATAGACACTGAAATCGGTCACTTGTCCACAGAATTAGTATTTTCTGTACAGTGAATGGCACGTAGTGCACTATATAGGGGACAGGGAACGATTCAAACAGTGCAAATATGCTTTCCATTGAGGAAAAAAAGAAGTCTGGTTTCATACCGGTTCATACCGAATACTGGTTTTATTTTTGTTATGATATAAATTTTGAAAATACCAAGTATTGTATTGTATGTCGGTGTATGTCGCTAAAAAACAACGTTGGGAACGCGACACTGTTTGAAAGAAGTCTCTTTTCACTGTTGCACTGTGGTGAGGGAACAGCTGTATGTGTTACTAAGCCTGAAAGTGCCGAAACTGAAGCTGTAGAACTAATAGAACGTCATGACACAGGAGAACTCATCCACAATATCCACACTGACCGCCACAAATATCCAGCGCCCGCTGCCATCAGCTCCCGCGTCTCACACACACGAGCGACTTTAGCACTAGATTTAGCAACTTTCAGACCCTTTTAGCGGCTTTTTTCCATCGAATATTCATACTGACAAACCTAGCGACTTTCTTGGATAAACCTTAGCTATGGTTCAGTTGGAAGATTTCGTCAGTGCTGTCCCGCGAACGCGAGGTCTGACTTTCCCGGAGAAGTGTCGCCTCTCTCGGCATCTGTTCTGTGCAGTGAGCGGCAGAGAAGCACCGCAGCCGACTCCTCAATAAATGAGTACAAAACAGCGTTTCCTAGCACCTGTCGCTTACTGATTGTTTGGAATTATAAATATGAGCGTAGTTCGTCTTTTAATATCACATGCACTTTTTTGTTTGTTGTTGTTTTTAGTTTGTTACTCAGACGCAGGCAGTGCGCTGCATGAGACAAAAAAGTAATCTAGCCAAAACAACCACATAACCGCTCTTTAGTGTAGATGCATGTTGATTTTATCAGACGATGCTGCGATTATAAATGAGAGTGACTCCTGGTTAACATGTATTAAAAGGGGTCGTGTTTAGTCACTATTTAGTGTGGTATCTTTTGACAATATTCACTCATCGTGACAGTAAAATAGTGCATTCTAACTCAATACACTGCAGTATTTCCTCTCAATCAGTAGAAAATATAGTTAACACCCGCTCATGCATGACAAAAAAATACCGTCGTACCGTGAAACCGGTATCATTTGGGAAAATACCATGATATAAATGTTTGGTCATACCGCCCAGCACTAGATATCTGTATTGGAAAACATGCCAAAATTAATTTATGACTTTCTGCTCCGATTTAAGATTCTTTAAGGCCTTAATTTGTGTAAGGGGTTATAAAATGCCTTATTTAGGACCATGTCAAAGCAAACAGGTCTCATTGAGAATGTAAAATCTTTTCAGCCTGGGCAACAGGAGTTAAAACATCTGAATCAATGTCTTTTAATAACAATACAGTAACATAAAGCAGTAACTTATGCCGTATATCAGCTAAAACCCTGCTGCGCGAGTCCTGCATTACATCAGCCATAAACCAAGTACAAAACAGGTGTTTAATTTGAAGGACAAAGAGAAACTGGTGCGCCTCTGTCCCACCACAGTCTACATGAGCGACCCATCTGATTTATTTACAGCGCATTTCAGTAAACGAGGACACTGTGTACAGTAATGCTAGCTAGCGTATTTTCGACGGCAAGGTTAAACTAACCATAAAATGAGACACTTTAAAGCACAACGACACCTTTTGGCAAAAGCTTACATATTTACAAAGTTACAGATGAATAACACTTGTGTATATACTACAAGTCTGGGCAATATTTTGAGATTTTTTATCAAACCAGCTAGCATCTAGCATTTTTAATCGAACCAGCTAGCATATTGTGTCTCGCTTACTCTCCCTGTCCGTACACATTTCATTACATATTATAAAAGTAAATAGAATTTCATAACTAAATCTTACAAACAGCCACTACAGATCAAATAATTAAAGAAAATAAGCGTCTCACCGAAGAACCCCTTTATCTTCCGCCTTAGCTTCTCCTAGACACGCCCCCAAACAAAACGTGACCATATAAGGGCTTTTCACGTTCAGCGTGAGGCGACGTAACATTTATTGCATTGTTACTGTAACTTTTATTGATTGATTGATTGATTGATTTATTTTGTGGGACATTTTATGTTAAAGTCAGCTGTTAACCCATTTTACATTATTATGGGATGTACGCAAAGTTTGGCTTTTTTAATCTGCAAGGATGTATTAAATTGATCAAAAGTTAGAGTAATGGCATTTAGAATGTTACATTTTCATTTTAAATAAATGCTGTTCTTTTGAAATTTCTATTCATCAAAAAAATACAGAAAAAATTGAGCACAGTGTCCAGAAAAAAATATATTAATCGGCACAATTTTTCCAGCATTTATAAGAATAAATATGATCAAATAACATGTTTCTTAAGCACAAAATCAGCATATTATAATGATTTCTGAAGGATCGTGTGACACTGAAGACTGGTGTAATGACTGCTGAATATACAGCTTTGCCATCACAGGAATAAATTACTTTTTTAAAACATTGAAAAAAATAAATAAAAATGCACGTTACTGTATTTTTGATTACATAAATGCAGCCTTGGTTAGCATAACAGATTTCTTTCAGTGTACCTACCTACTGTATTTTTTCGAGTGATTTCTGATTGATAAAATCAAGTCATGCCCTACATTTTTCTCTTATATATCCTGCTTCACTCGGAAATGCATCAAATTACGGAAATAAAGGGGTTTGCAAACAGTTGGCTTTAACAAAATGTACCATTTAGTTCCAGGATCTGATTCTAAGCATTTCTAAGAGTCCAACACATTTTGACCTTGTTCATGACTGCTATTGATGTATTTTTAATTCCCCAATTGCTGATAAGAGCTAAAACCGTGAGAGCGTGATGATTTTGGAAAGCAGCAGCTACTTTTTAGCACAGTTAGGTCCCCAGATGCTGCAGAGGAGTGTGAATGGGTTCTCCTCGACGAGGGAAGGGGGAGAGCTGACGCTGGGTCAGTCGGTACCGTTCCTCATAAAGGACTTAGAGTGCAAACAGACCCTTAAATCTGCCCACTGAACAGCGGCCTGACAGCCCTGCATGTATGAGCCAAAGTTAAGATAAAGAAAGCTGGATATATGTGAAGCCGCTTTTGTTCCGAGCTCCTTCGCTTGGAGCCAATGGGAGTCATTATTTCACCAACTCATTGTTATGTCATTGACCCCATGGAAGAAGGGCCCTTTAATTTCACCATTTATTACTCTACCAATATTGTTCGGGTTCCGCCTCAGAAATAAATCTGTCTTTTCTCTAGTTGTTTTAAAGCTTTGTACACCACTCCCATCAGCCTTTGTGTCTTT